CATATGCTCTGGAACAGAGTAATATCGCGTCCATATCGCAGGCTTTGCGATTAGGAAATCGCAACGTCTCAAATCGCGATTTCGATTCGATTTCGATTAATCGCACAGCCCTAGTGTAGAGTGATCAGATGCATATTAAATTGATTTTAAAAAAAAGTTATATTTGCCAGAAAATTTATTTTTCACAAAAAAAACAACACACATTTCACTGTTTTTTGATCCTGACACAAAACGATCAGCTAACATCAATTGACTAATCATATCAGCAGCACAGGTGAAAGTGTGAATGAGTACTAGACTTGTGCTGGTATTTGGTAATGCTATTTAATAATAGGTTGTTAAAATCGAAAGTCGTAACTGTGTTATTTAATGAGCTAACATGAGCTAAGACTTGTATTTTTTAAACAAAGATTAATAACTTCTGTAGCAAATGTAGCTATTGCTCATTGTGAATGTTAATGCATTAACTAAGGTTAACTAATGAGGTCTTATTGTAAAGTGATACCTATTGGTCTTTATAGTTCTTTTGCACTTTAATCTGTGTAAAACTTTTAACTTTATACATTTTTCTGTATTGCTTTATTGCATTTAAATGTTCAGTTATTTTTGTTATAAGAAAAATGTTATTAAACCTGTTCTACTGTATTATGACAGCACTTTTTTTAAACTAAATTTCAATATCGTGATAATACCGCATACCATGATAAAAGCATTAGCAATTAAATCGCAACATGAAAATTTGATACCGGCATATCCCTAATGAGTACTAGTCAGATAAAATCACTATCATATACTAATTAGATTGTAAGAGCAGACTGATGGAGGGAAGAAGCGCTTCCAATCATTGTGCACGATATTGTTATCATGGGCACTTCTAAATACCATGAATAATTAATTATATATTACCGGTACAAATTATTCCGAATTTTGAATGCATTTTTAGAATACTTTTCCCATCAACTGGTCAAAATGCACAACACGCTCTATGCTGCGTGAAAGACGCATGCGCACTCTGACGTAAACAAGCGCGGACGAGAAGCACATGGCGGAACATGTGAGAGACGCTCTGGATGAAAGCGCACTTTCACTCTCTGACAGCAGATGGCACTAAACTGCAGAAATAATAATAATAATAATAATTCATTTAAATGCAGCCGTTACCCCGGAAACCCTGTTTCTGTTTCATGATTCAGAAACTTTCTGTTTCTGAATCGTGTTTAAACGATTTAAACAGCCATTCAGATTTGTGTATTTGCAACACATACAGCTGTTCCCTCACCACAGTACAACAGTGAAAAGGGACCTCTTTCAAACAGTGTCGCGTTCCGAACGTTGTTTAAGCGACATACACCGGTATTGCGGTATTAAAAAAATTCATATCATAACAAAAATAAACACCGGTATTTGGTATGAACCGGTATACCGCCCAGCACTACCTTGGGGTAAGATGGCTCCATCAGAAATTTTATTTTTGTTGTCTTGCTGCATATTGTCACAAGTATTTATTTTTATTTAAATTCTTATTGTAATTCATGGTGTTATCGTTCAGTAATTTCATCAATTAAATGCACATTTCAGAAATGGTTGCCTCTGTTTAAAACCTATAGACTAACGGAGTGAAATCAGTGTTACCATTAGGAAAAAAAAAAAACGAAAATATGGGCAATTAAATATGATATGACAGGCATATTTGCATACATAATAGAATAAGTTTGCCTTTCAGATGATTATCTTTTACTGGGATACTGCTTTGTAATGGTTATTCAATTACTCAACTAAAAACAGTATTAAACAAAATAGGTGATTCAGTGTTTTACAGTAATGACAAAAAAAAAAGAAACAGTGTACAAATGTATATATATTTAGGCCATTTTTACTAGGGCTGTGACGGTGGCAGATTTTTTATCACCGCGGTGGTAATGAACCAACTACCGCCGGTGGTGCCGTGTTGATAGGCTATATAATTAATATGTTATATATGTAATTTATGTATAAATAAATAAATATATATGCACATCTCAGGGTTTCTGCAGGATTTTTAAGCTCAAATTTAAGACCTTTTTAAGACCTGCACAAATAAAATTAATTCCATATGAGCGGGGTAGGGCAATGTCTATAGCAGTGTTTCCCAACCGTGGTGCCATCTGTCGAGAGCAGGGGTGCAGTGTAAAAAATCATTTTTTAATATTTTTAAATTGCTAAAATGTTCAAAAAATCATCTATTATATAATATCCATTTCTGATGTCGCCAATAATTAGAGATGCACCGAAATT